AAAACATTAATTTTTTGCTTTTTTAGAAAATCTTTTCCCTCAGTTTTATGTAAAAGAAAATCTTTCCTCCTATTCCTTTCAAGCCTCTGATATTTTTTAAAATTCTGACTAAGTTCATTTTCACTTCCTTTCATTCACAGATTTCATTAGAGGTCACAGTCCAGTGACCTTCAGGGTCACAGCCTGGTCAGGGTACACCCTTCCCAAATGTGATGCCTTATCTCTGTAAGCAGAGAGCAGGAAACAGAGCAGTGCTTTCCTGCTGCAGCTCAGTCTCACTCTGAAGCCTGTCTTGACCCTTCCAGGGTGCTGCAGTTACCCTCATGCTCAACTCTTCTGAGACTATGCTTATGGAGCCTGAGCTTACAGCTTTTCCATCTGTTTTTAAACAGAAGAGACAAAGTCTTTAATGTGTGACCAATTATTCCTTTCCCAGGCGTGAAACCCACGATGTTCAAACAAGGCTCCCTTGAGTCAGTACTTAGAAACTGCATTTTTTCATTACAGATTAAAGAATGTTTTAAGGAAAATTAGGTGAATAGATAACTTACTCTAAAATTGCACAAATAAATCTAAATAATTAGTTTTTAAGGTATTGTTTACACAACTTAAGAGAATTATGAATAAAAGGGAAAAGTGTGACACAAAAAATGACAGTGATTGCTCAACTCACAAGTCGGAATTATTCCAACTTGAAAAGTTACAAGAGTAGTCAACTTTGGTTTTAGGAGGTTTGCCTTGAGTGGTTTGGCTCATGTCAGTGATTAATACTCATGCCTTAGTAATTAAATTTTTTTCCTCCAATATCGTAAAGCTTGTTGAGAAATCAATCCTCTACTATAAAACAGAGGATCACATCATGTCTGCAACTTTTTTTTTTTTTTGCGGTACGCAGGCCTCTCACTGTTGTGGCCTCTCCCGTTGCAGAGCACAGGCTCCGGACGCGCAGGCTCAGCGGCCATGGCTCACGGGCCCAGCCGCTCCGCGGCATGTGGGATCTTCCCGGACCGGGGCACAAACCCATGTCCCCTGCATGCATCGGCAGGCGGACTCTCAACCACTGCGCCACCAGGGAAGCCCTCTGCAACTTTTAACAACTTAAAGTACTTTAAGTATGTGTTAGTCCCTTGGTACAGATTTATGACTCCCATTATGGATGTCAAAGCTTTGAAAGTGGCCAAAAAGTGTATTTAAATAATCTTAAAACTGAAGATCACATTCTGAGCAGATCTGCAAATTCACAAGTGTCATTTTGCATAGAATTAGAAAAACTTTAAAGACTCCCACAAATTCTAAAACTGAAGGACAGAAAACCATTAGGGATGTTAACCAGATATTTTGACTTTAGTTTTGAGTCTAATTTCTGTTTCTTCCACTCAGCAGGATCTGGTATAGTCCCTTCTCCCCTCTTCCCAAAATACACACTGGTGATTATTTTTACTACGTTCTGAGTGTGAGATTTCAGTCTGTATAAAGCAGCTCCTGGTTACAAACCTGTTATCATTTGCTGTGCATCATAGGGTTCCATGTATCCATCATTCTCCCCTACTCTTTCTGCATCCCTTTGGCCTTTCGTCCGTTTAGCATCATAAGGGTCAGCGTAGTCTTCTAAAATGATGACCTGTAAAAGAACCAGACAGGGGAGTTGCTAAGGACTGTCATATACCAGAGTGACAATGGTATCAAAAAGACTGCTAAAAAACCTGCAGACCCAAAAAGAGGTCAAAATTTCCAACCAGTTCTGAAGAGCTTTTGCACTTGATTACACTATTATCCACCCAGTTGGACAAACATCTGGTTTATTTTGGTAGTATAATTGATTGGCAACAATCCATCTAAATTATCCTGCTTATCCCCAAGGCTCTTTTCACCTCCCTCTCTCTCCCCAAGCAATAAGGCATTTGCTGGTTAAAGTGTAGCAGGGGTGGATGGCGGAAGGTGGAAGATGTCTATGGCTTTAGAGCACAAAAAAATGAACTGGTCTACTACATTTTCCATGATTTTGTTTTTTTTAATGTCAACCAGTTGAGCAATAAAGTCATGGTTAAGTCAGCCCATCACCCACTGATACTGAACACCCACCAGCACTGGCTAGGCACTGAGAGGGAATAAAATAAGACCAAGACTTACTTTTTGTCCTCAAGGAATTTGTAACAGCTCTAAAGAGGCAGGCTTCATAATAAGAAGCCTAAGAAATAGGTCAGAGCTGAAGAGTATTGTGGGAGTTCTAGGTTCAATAATTTATAGGCAGACTGATTCTCATAGACTACGATCAGATAGAGTTTTGATCCGTATTTGCTACAGAAAGCATCCATCCTTCCAAAAATAGAAAAGTGCCTGGGAAGGTGGTGTAAGTGCAATAGTTCTGTTCTGCAGCAGCTGGGTGACAATGTGGGCGCTTAGGGAGCCTGAGCTTGACAGGTGCTTCTCAGGGAGGAAGAGTTTTATGGGGAAAAAAGATATATTCATTTTTAAAGCACAGCACTTTCCCTATTGTCAACGTGGCTCCACAAATAAACAGCTAGGATAGTATAGATAAACTACTTATTCCAGTTAAAGAGAGAGAGAGGAATAAAAACCAAAGGTGAATCAAAATTAAGGGAGGAAGCCCCAGGCCTTGGTACAATCTCTGATTACATACTCCAAAGAGTTCATGGAGAAGCACCACTGGAGCTGGCAGAAGAATCCAGCTAAACAGGGAGAAGTGAGGAGGAGGGGACAGCCTGGATGAGAGTCCTCTTCCTGGGAGGAGATGGCCTAAGAAACTTTAGACATCTCGAAGCGACGACCAATAACCGGGCAATCACTGCAGAGGACTGTGATTACCATTCACTCCCTCACTCCATTCTTCTTGCCTGAACATGTGTACTGCATCCCCAAGGTACAGCGAGGAACACGAAGCATGATACTCAGTGCTTGGCTGCAAGGTGCTTATGATCTAGTTAAACACATGGAGAGACCACTGACTAATGTCTGGACGAGCTGATCAGCTTTCCATGGCTCTCCTGGCAGTGTCTGGCAGGGGGGTAGGTACGCTGTAAATACTTGTGGACAGAATAAGTGGAGGAATGAATAGAAGTGCCAATGCAGACACACGTGGTATGTGCTACCACTCCTGACTCTATCCGGGTGGGCCACATGTTTGAAGACCGGGCAAGAGAAAATTAAAGTTCTCATGACAGGGAAGTGATCGGCTGGGCTGGAGTCTGAAAGCTGGGTGTAAGCTCTTCTCTCTCTCCTTCACACGGAACAGCAGACTTAAAAACAAACGAACGGGGACTCCCCTGGTGGTCCAGGGGTAAAGATTCCACCTTACAATGCAGGGGACAGGGTTTCGATCACTGGTCGGGGAACTAAGATCCCACGTGCGGGGCTACTGAGCTCTCGCGCCTCAAACTACAGAGCCCACGTGCTCTAGAGCCTGCGCACCACAACTAGAGAAGAGAAAACCTCCTGCACGCCACAACTAGAGAGAAGCCTGAGCACTGCAACTAAGACCCGACGCAGCCAAAAAAAATAAGAAACAAACAAAACCCCAACTCATCTCTGTAAGAATGAGTGGGTCTCTTCACATGTTCACACTCCTTTTCTTAACTGTCTCACATTGGACAGCACCCAGAAAACCTCCAGTGTGTAAGAAGCAGGAAACACCTTCTGTCCTGATCTGTAATTTCCCTTCAGGGCATTTCCTTGTCCTACTCTGTAGCCTCCGCAGTCCTTAGAGCCCTGTGCCCCTTATCCTATATGGCTCCTGCACAGTGAATGTTCATGGGATGAATGAAAGAGGGCTGTAATCTCGTGCTGCTAGTGAAGGTCTGAGAAACCCTTTACTGGGTTGAAGTGCAAAGAACGATGGCGCTTCCAAAAAGCAGAGAAGGGGGGGCAGCTGAAATCAGTACTTAAAACAGTTTAGAGGTTACCATTCCTTAAGCTCAAGAAGGATAAAATTTACACACAAATCTAGCTTTGCAATTCCCCTGGATTTCTAAATTAAAATAAACCACATCTACAAGGGGATCACATTTAACAAAGCACCCAACTGTCTCATTCACTTATTCTTCTAAAGTGATAAAATTAAATGGGAAGTACATTTCTGCCAAGTTCCCCAACGCCAGAATGAGAATTTTTCAAGATTAAAAAAAAACAAAATCTATTTTAAATGGTCACTTAGGAGTCAAATGTTAGAGGGGGTAAATACATCCTCACCTTCTCTGAGGTATAAAGAACCCTAGAGTTTAGCGGGTTCACGATGCTCCCTTCCCACTGCTCCGCTTCAGTAGGGGAGAGGTGGTCCAAGGGAGGTTGTATTCTTACCGTGTCTTGCTGCTTAATAATCTTGCCCTTGTCCAGTTCGGGTCCCAGGGAGGAAGGCGAAGAGGACGCGGAGGAAGAGCTGCTGTTGCTACTGCTGCTGCTACTACTGCTGCTGGGGTAGTTGCTCTTCCCATTCTTCTCCTGAGTATCCACCTTGATGAGCCTGTTGATGTAGGTGCTGCAGCCTGAGCTCTTGGCCGCGCCCCGGTGGGGCTCCTCCTCGGTGGCGCGGGAGTTCTTGCGGCCCTTGCCCGCGGCGGCCTGAATCAGACCCTGCAGGCTGTCTCGGGACAGTCGGCTATCCTTGGGGGGGCCGACCCCGGCCCGGCTGCTCCCCAGCTCGGCCGCCGAGTTCTTTCGGCCCTTGCCCGGGGCGGGCCCCGCGCCGCCCGCCTCCGAGTTCTTGCGCAATTTGCCGCCTCCCCCGCCGCCGGGCTTGGCCCGCTCCGACACTGTCTTCAGGTTCAGGGGGAACTCCTTGAACCACTTGGCCGCCATGAGGGGGGCCCGGCCGGCGCGGCTCAGGAGCGTCGTGGCCGCGGAGCAGGCGAACGAGGAGGCCCAGCTTAGACACGGAGAAGCGCCAGGGGCTGGGGGCCACTGCATTCCCCGGGGCTGGGGCGCTAGAGGCCGCGGCGAGGCCCCGCGACGGCTGCTCCGCTCGTCCCGGGCCGGCCGTCGCCTACACCCCGCAGGGTGGGGCCCCTATGGCCCGGGGAGGGGTGTTCGGGGCGCCGAGCGGGCGGGCGCGAGCCGCCGCTCCGGACACGGACGGCGACAGGCACGACGCACCGGGGCCCCGCCCGAGCTCGTCTTCAGCGCCTGCACGGCCGGGGGCTACGCGGGTCTCTGGGGGCGGCGGGCGCCGGGGGCTTCCCCTGCGTTTTCCTCCCGAAGTGGGAGAGGCCGGGCCCACGGAAGCCCGGGGACAGCCCTGCCCACACTCCCGGGGACCAGGGGAGACGAAGCGGAGGCGGCGGGAGTGTCCCCGGCGCCGCGACGGACGGTGGGCCGCCAGCGGGCAGCCCGCCCTCTCCGCGCGCCCCTCCCCTCCGAGGCTGGCGCCTCCCCGCCCGCCACCTCCCGCCCAGATCCGGGGGCGCCGGGGTCAGTGCCTCTGCAGAGGCGGGTCCGGGGTGCATGTTTGGGGGAAGGTAGCAGCAGCTCTACGTGCTGCCGGTTGCGCCCGCGTGGTTAGGGCCCCCCACGTTTTGGGTAAGCAGCTCCCCATCTGCACTGAGCCGGTCTCGGCCAGGCGCTGCCTTCAAACGCAGCCCAAGTGCTCCACGTGCACCTCTCCTACCCAGGATGGGAGCCCCTCCACTCCTAAAAGAGCTAGGCGCGCGCCGCTGTCACTCGCTCCACTCTCTCTGCAAGCATATTTTGGGTGTGTGTGTGGGGGGAGGGTGTCTATTAAAAGCGGGAGCAGGGCCCGCGGACGCTTGCTCCCGAGCCGGTGCAGTTACCGTCCTAGCGAGCACTGCTGGCGCGGCGCAGCTAGCACGCAGGTCTTCCCGCCTGGCCGGGCTGCAGCCGCCCGGGGATTGGCTGCGGAGGGGCGGCCCCGCCCCGTGCCCCGCGGGCGTCGGAGGAGTAGAAGCGCGCAGGAAGAAGGAGCTAAGGCTCAGCGTCTGGGCTGCAGGCTGGATGTACCTGGCAGGGGCAAGGTACAGCTTTTTGGTTCCCGGCCCCGGGCTGCCGGGCGGACGGTGGCGGGGACCTGGGCGTTGGGAGGCATTTGTGGAAACTGCACCTCTCATTTCCCCTCCATGGTGGCGGGGCGCGTGTTACCCCTCGGAGCTTGTCGCTTGCTCTCGCCAGGTGCGTCTGCAGAACTAATTTTTAGTGGGGTTGGTGGGTGGGAGTGGATACCAGACTGAATTTAAAAACTTTAAATTGAAAAACTTTTTAGCTTAAAAAACTGAACGTGCTGTTGAGGCTAACGCAATACGTTCTAAATCCAATACAAGCCAGGGGGACTGAATGATCCTGGCCACTCATTGGCTTCATTTGTGTGGGCGTTGGTTTGTGAGGTGGAGTGGCAAAAGAAATGCTTGCTTATTCCAGCCATTCTTGAAAATGTGCCTTACCTTTAAAAAAAAAAAAACTTTATTGAGATATAATTTGCACACCATAAAATTCACCTGTTTTAGGTGTACAATTAAAAGGTATTTAGTATATTTACAGTGCAGCCATCACCACAATCTAATTTTAGAACATTTCCCTGTTTAGAGCATTTGGGGCGCCAAAAGGAAACCTTGTTAGCAGTCACTCCTCATTCCCCGCCGCCCCCCCCCCCCCGCCCCCAGACCTGGGCGGCCACCAGTCTACTTTCTGTCTCTACAGATTTGTCTAGTCTGGACTTTTCATATAAGTGGAATCATACAATATGTGGCCCTTTGTGTGTGGTTTCTTACTGTAGCATCATGTTTTTGAGATTCATCCATGTTGTGGCATTTATCAATATTTTAGTCCACGTATATTGCCAGATAATATTCCATTCTTTGGGTATACATTTTATTTATCTGTTCATCTGTCAATTGATGATCATTTGAGTTGTTTCTTGTTTTTTTAAATTTAATTTGTTTTTGGCAGCGTTGGGTCTTCGTTGCTGCATGTGGGCTTTACTTAGTTTCTTTCTTTAGTTGCGGCCGGGGCCACTCTTCCTTGCGGTGCGCGGGCTTCTCATTGCAGTGGCTTCTCTTGCTGCGGAGCATGGGCCTTAGGTGTGTGAGCTTCAGTAGTTGCAGCACGCAGGCTCAGTAGTTGTGGCACAAGGACTTAGTTGCTCCGTGGCAGGCATGTGGGATCTTCCCCGACCAGGGATCGAACCCGTGTTCCCTGCATTGGCAGGCAGATTCTTTAACCATTGCGCCACCAGGGAAGTCCCTGAGTTGTTTTTCTTTTGGATATTGTGAACAATGCTGCTGTGAATATTTGTGAACAAGTTTTTGGTGGACATCAATTTTAATTTATCTTGAGTAGATACCCAGGAGTGGAATTGCTGGGTCATATGGAATTCTCTTTAACTTTTTGAGAGACTGCCAAACTGTGTCCCAAACGGCACCACTTTATATTCCCACCAGCAATATGAGGGTTCCCATTTCTCCACATCTCAACACTTATTGTCTGTCTTTTAAATTATAGCCCTCCTAGTGGATGTGATGTATCATTGTGGCTTTGATTTGCATTTCCTTAATGGCTAAATACGTTGAGAATCTTTTTCATGTGCTTATTGGACATTTGTTTATCTTTGGAGAAATGTCTATCAGGTGATTTGTCCACTTTTAATTGGTTTATTTGCATTATTATTATTATTTTGGCTACGCCAGACTGCATGCAGGATGGTTTCTCTGACCAGGGATCGAACCCAGGCCTCTGCAGTGAAAGCGCCGAATCCTAACCACTAGACCACCAGGGAACTCCCTATTTGCCTTATTATTGAGTTGTAAGAGTTCTTTATATACTCTTTGTCTTTTTTTTTTAATAAATGTATTTATTTTTGGCTGCGTTGGGTCTTCATTGCTGCACGTGGGCTTTCTCTAGTTGCAGCAAGCAGGGGGCTACTCTTCGTTGTGATGCAGTCTTCTCTTTGCGGTGGCTTCTCTTGTTGTGGAGCACGGGCTCTAGGCGCCAGGGCTTCAGTAGTTGTGGCTCGCAGGCTCTAGAGTGCAGGCTCAGTAGTTGTGGCGCACGGGCTTAGTTGCTCCATGGCATGTGGAATCTTCCCGGACCAGGGCTCGAACCCGTGTCCCCCGCGTTGGCAGGCGGATTCTTAACCACTGCGCCACCAGGGAAGTCCTACTCTTTGTCTTTTTAAAAACACAAATAAGACACTTTTCCAGACCAAGCAATAGAGTGGAAGCTCATGACTTTTGAGTCATGTGGTTTGAATTCAAAAAACAGGCTTCTCTATTTATGAGCATAAATTAAGTGATCTCTGACAGACTACCAGATTATGGTCTCTGAGCCTCCAGGACTTCATCTGTACTGTGGGGTAATAATGGCAAGTTCTGAGAGTTTCCATGAGGATTAAATGAGACAATGTACATTAGCTGTTTAGTTAGCATAGCACCTGGCAGGCCCTTAAAGGCATCTTTGAAAGATTTATGCTGGGCCCTTGCTTGGGAGGTGTTGGTGCCCTCCCTGTTCCAGAAGCCCATAGGTTTTTCCAGGGATTACCAGGAAATTGGGAGTAACAGCCATAGCCTGATTCTGCCCATAAACCTCTCTATTTTTATTCATCAATACTTAAGCCTTTTAATTATCTTAACCACTGTTAGTTCTATTTAAATTTAGTTGCAACTAAAGCGGTTTCCTCCTGCAGCTGGGAACAATTTAGAGGACAGCGTTACTACTTTCTTTTAAAATTTAATGTTTTAATTTTTGTTTCTCCCAAAGTAAAGAAAAAAATTCCTTTAAAATGACTTTGACAGCCTTCTTACCTGCAGGAAAAGAACCAAGGGCTGATCTGTCATGCCTCTGCAATGAAGCCTCCATGAAAACCCAAAAGTATGGGTTCTGAGAGCTTCCGGGTTGGTGAACACAGTAGAGATTTGGGGACAGTGACGCACCTAGAGAGCATGGAAGCTCTGTGCCCTTTCCCTGTACCTTGCCCCATGCATCTCTCCCATCTGGCTGTTCCTGAGTTATATACTTTTTAAATAAATGGCAATCTAGTAAGGAAATGTTTCTCTGAGATGTGAGCCACTCTAGCAAAGTGATGGGACCCAAGGAGGGGTCGTGCGAACCTCCAGTCTCTAGGTGGTCAGTCAGAAGCACAGGTGACTGGCATCTGAAGCGGGGCAGTCCTGTGGGACTGAGCCCTTAACCTGTGGAATCTGATGCTATCTCCTGGGTAGACAGTGTCAGAACTGAGTTGCATTGTAGGACACCCAGCTGGTGTCTGGAGCAGTGCTTGGTGGTGTGGTAAAACTGCTCCCCCCCTACATCGGAATTGGTGACCAGAACCCTTAATAGGTTCTGGGGATTAAGATACGGACCGCTTTGCTGGGGGGCATGATTCTGCCTGCCGCAGTACCTATTCAGTAATGTGATGCTGAATGATCCTGGCATTCCTCTAACTGTGGCTGGTTGGCTTTGCAGGAGATCCCGTTGGAAAGAAACTGCAGCATGTAAGTTGTTTCCTTTTGCTGATAAACAAGCCTCCTTCCACCCCACAGCCTTCTGTTCCTTCTCCTCCTGCCTCCCAATGCCCAGAGCTTAGGAGTCAACCCCAGCATTTCTCGCCTGTTGATTCTGACACTAAATGTGCTGTAACAATTAGCGATTAAAAAGGTCCAGTGGAGGGCTTCGTGCTTGGAACCCGAGTCTGGAAGGAGGAAGGGAAACCCTCTGTCAGGAAGCGGGTATGGAGGCTTCTGCCGGGCCCTGCTTGTTATGCCCAAACTCCTTCTGTTGGAGTTTGCCTTTGGGAGGTGCAATGCTAAGACCTGTGTTTGACAGGTCCTGGAGCAGCAGTGACTTCGGACCCTCTGCTGAAGTATTTGGGAAGAATGGAGTGTTGGAGGAACAGAAATTTCCAAGTGAGTTACCTTGGGGGTTTGCTTGGTGCTGGGACGCTCAGTCTATAACCTGGATCCTAATTAATCTACTCAGTTTCTCTTCAAGCATGAAACCTGAGATCCTGCCCTTGCTCCAGTCACCACGTTTCCTTTCACGTGAGGGATGCATCCCTCTGCCGCACACTGTGCAGACCCTCAGGCGCTGTTGCGCTGGCTGCTCCTAACCCCATACTTCTCTTTAATCCTTATCTCCTCCCATTTCACCCTCCACCATCTCCAAAGTGATCTTTCTGCAACCTAGCCGCGTTGATGTCACCTCTCTGATTAAACCCTTCACCTCCTTCTCACAGCCAGTGGACTCTGCTGAGACTGCTGTGGGCAGCAGTCAGCAATTTCAGCAGTTGGCCTGGCCTGCCTTCTTCCTTCTGCTCTCGCCACTCACCCACCTGCAGCGTGCGTCTAGCTATTCCTGACTCCAGGCAGCCTCCCAGACGCGCGTCTTTTCGCATCTCCATGCCTTTGCGTGTGCCCTGCCCTCTGCCTGGATTCCCTTCTGCCTCCCTCCTGCATTAACCCCCACTTCCTTCCCTCCTTCAGCTGAATGTTAACTTTGAAATACTACCCACTTTGGTCCTGAAACTACATAATACCCCATTGGAAGCGCTGGATTCCTGGTGTGCTGATGACTCGCTGTCCTCCCAACCCCCAGAGAGAGAGTACGCTCCTGCCTTGAAAGCAGTGATATCCAAGGCCGACACTTAACACTGGACCACTCCCATAACCCTGATAAGTGTTTGCTGACGATTGAGTGCTGTATAACCCTTCACTGATGGGGGTGGGGGGGAATGTTTGTAGGGGACTGTGTGTGTATGTTTTAACCTTGAGGAAAATGTGTCACTTATCACATGTTCTAACTCCTCTGAATCCTCTAGCCTTACACCTGCCTTCTTTTTGGCTATTTTTCTTCTTAGGATTCAAGAAAAGAGAGACACAGGTGTACATTGGCAATCTCCCGCTGGATATCTCTGAGGTATGCTTCACTCTCTGTGAACGGTTGCTTCTTATCTTCTTTGGTCTCCCCCATATGACTTAAACCTGCCAGTAACAGTTTTACCAGTTTTAAAAGGTATTTTAGAGCTACGAATGTGCAAGCAGTCGCTGGTTGGTGACTGCGCTGACCAGCTCACAGCCAATTCACGGTTTGCCTTGGACTTCCCACTTTTAGTGTGGAGCATCCTGCATCCAACCATCCATGTAAACCTGGATGGGCGGTCACCCTCCTTATCGCTGTGAATGGAGGGGCAGCGGTGAGGCAGCTTCCCTTTAGGAAGGGGGCCTTGTGAGGGTTCAATTGCCGATCCTTTGGTCATAGGGAGCAGTGGGGTCTCGGCCAAGAAACTACACTCATTTCACTTTGAAATGAACCAGTTCAGTCAGTTGGCTGTGTACTTAGGGAGTAGAATAGAAACAACCATATTTGACCCCCGGAATCTTCCTGTCTATTTGGGGAGGCCAGACCACCAAACCTGAAATAATTATAGAACAACATAAGTACTTAAAATTTGTAATAAGTGCATTTGAAGTATAGATGAGAGAACGGAAGTGTAATCTACCGATTTGAAGCATCCCCTGCCTTTTAAATTTTTTTGGAGCATTTAAAAATTTGCGAGCAACGCAGAATAATGTGCCTGAGGCTCACTCAGCACACTAAAAGATAACCCGGTCCTTGCGCTCAAGCTCAGTCTTAGATGAAGGATGAGAGAAACTAACTTTTGTGGAGCCCCTGCTGCATGTCAGACATTTTTCAAAAATGTCCTGGTCTCGTGCCCCCTTGCCAATTAGCTAAACTCAATCTTCTCTGCCCAAATTGTGCCGTATTGCTTTTACACCAGTTACTATATTTTAATTATCAGAGATGCTCCGGGAAATAGGCTAAATGCTTCATTAGTGTGGTTTTATTAGATTCTTATAATAACTCTGGGTGGTGGGTGGTAGTTCCATCTTGGAGATGAGGCAGCTAAGGCTCTAAGATGTCCCCCCTGCCCAAGTACACAGACCTAGTGAGTGGTCGGCCAAGAGTTGAGTCCATGTCCAGTTGCCCCCAAGTACCAAACCACATAATCCATAAGACGTGTAAATAACTCACCATAAAAAGAGATGAATCTATTATGTTTTTATCTGACAAAGAGAGAAGAACATGGTATTGGAGCCCAGAGAATAAAGTAATTCATTTTGACCCAGTGAATTAAACCAAGAGTCAAAGGGGTGGGTTGGGGGATTCTTGGCATCTGAGAGAAGAGAGTACTGGGGCTGATTCCCCTTCCCCTTGTTGGCAGGCTGCTACAACCCATTATTTGACAGTGAGATGAGGGCAGGAGCCCTGCAGGCAGTTCTGCAGTGGTCTTGGGGAGGCGAGGCACTGAAAGGCTCTGCCACCTCTCTCCAGAAGACCCTGTTTCGCAGCCCAGCACCTGGGGCTTGCTTGGCTATGCTGACCCACACTGTGGTTTAGGGGGCCTTGGATCCTTGCCCCCTTCACGGGAAAGCAGCAGCCTTCCCCATGGTGCTTTCTTCCAACTTAACAAACGCAGACCAGTCTCATAGGAGAGGACAGACATGAGCTAAAGAAGTAGGTTTTTAAAAAGAAGTTTCTTATTTTAACATTAATGCTGGACTTCCCTGGTGGTGCAGTGGTTAAGAATCCGCCTGCCAATGCAGGGGACACGGGTTCGAGCCCTGGTCCGGGAAGATCCCACATGCTGCGGAGCAACTAAGCCCGTGCACCACAACTACTGAGCCTGCGCTCTAGAGCCCGTGAGCCACAACTACTGAAGGTTGCGCACCTAGAGCCTGTGCTCCACAAGAGAAGACACCGCAATGAGAAGCCCCCACTCGCTGCAGCTAGAGAAAGCCTGCTCAGCAACGAAGATCCAGTGCAGCCAAAAATAAATAAATAAATAAATTAAAAAAAAAAACAGAACAGAAAAACATTAATGCCTCATGAAGAGCCATGAAGGGTCTGCAACTTTACCCTGCTTGCAAACCAACAGATTAGCCTGCAGCAGTTTCATGGCTGTTGGTAGAAGATGAAAGTCTTGGATCAGAGATGAAAGATGATTTATTATTCATAGCAATAACAGTAGCCAGGATTTTTTACTTTATTAACCTTTTTTTATTGAGATATAAATCACATACCATAAAATTCATTATTTTAAAGCATAAAATTCAGTGGTTTTTAGTATATTCACCAGGTTGTGCAGCCATCACCACTAATTCCAGAATATTTTCATCACCCCCAAGTAAATCTCATACCCGTTAGCAGTCCCTCCTCCTCTCTTCCTCCAGCCCCTGGCAACCACTAATTTACTTTCTGTCTCTATGGATTTGCCTATCCTGGCTATTTCATGTAAATGAAGTCATACAACGTGTGGCATTTTGTGTGTTCTTTCACTTAGTATAATGTTTTCAGGGCTCACATGTTTTATAGCACGTCTCAGTACTTCCTTCCTTTTTATGGCTAAAATATTTATATGGATATACCACAATTTGTTTATCCATTCATCACTGGACATTTGGGTTGTTGCCACTTTTTGGTTTTTATGAATAATGCTCTGCACATTGGTGTACACGTTATGTGTAAACATATGTTCCAGTTGTCTTTGGTATATACCTAGGAGTGAAATTATTGGGTCACATGATAACTCTGTGCCAAACTGTTTTCCAAAAGAGCTGTAACATTTTCACATTCATAACCAGCAATGTATGGGGATTCCAATGTATGGGGATTCCAGTTTCTCCACTTCCTTGCCCAAATCTGTTACTGTCTTTTTTTTTTTTAATAAATTTATTTTATTTATTTAATTTTGGCTGCATTGGGTCTTCGTTGGCTGCTCACGGGCTTTCTCTAGTTTCGGCGAGTGGGGCTACTCTTTGTTGCGGTGCGCGGATTTCTCATTGCCGTGGCTTCTCTTGTTTCAGAGCACGGGTTCTAGGTGCACAGGCTTCAGTAGTTGTGGCACGCAGGCTTCAGTAGTTGTGGCACGCAGTCTCAGTAGTTGTGGTGCGTGGGCTTAGTTGCTCCGCGGCATGTGGGATCTTCCCAGACCAGGGATCGGACCCGTGTCCCCCTGCACTGGCAGGCGGATTCTTAACCACTGCGCCACCAGGGAACTCACTGTTTCTTTTTTTTTTTTTTTTTCCTGTACGGGGGCCTCTCACTGTTGTGGCCTCTCCCGTTGTGGAGCACAGGCTCCGGACGCGCAGGCTCAGCGGCCATGGCTCACGGGCCTAGCCGCTCCGCAGCATGTGGGATCTTCCCGGACAGGGGCACGAACCCGCGTTCCCTGCATCGGCAGGCGGACTCTCAACCACTGCACCACCAGGGAAGCCCAGTTTGTCTTTTTTTTTTTTTTTTGCGGTACGCGGGCCTCTCACTATTGTGGCCTCTCCCGTTGCGGAGCACAGGCTCCGGACGCGCAGGCTCAGCAGCCATGTCTCATGGGCCTAGCCGCTCCGTGGCATGTGGGATCTTCCCGGACCTGGGCACGAACCCGCGTCCCCTGCATCGGCAGGCGGACTCTCAACCAGTGCGCCACCAGGGAAGCCCTGTCTTTTTATTATTGAGTTGAAAGAGTTCTTTATACATTCTGAATACAGGTCTCTTATCAGATATATGATTTGGAAATATTTTCTCCCATCAGTTGTATTTTTAGTTTCTCTATAGTGTCCTTTGAAACTCAGAAGTTTAATTTTGATGAATTCCAATTTTGTGTTTTTCTTTGGTTGCTTGTGCTTTAGGTGCCATATCTAAGAATCCATTGCCTAATCCAAGATCACAAGGATGTACACTTATGCATTCTTTTAAGAGTTTTATAGTTTTAGCTCTCATATTTAGGTCTATGATCCTTTTTAAAAAAATTTATTTATTTTTGGCTGCATTGGGTCTTTGTTGCTGTGTGCAGGCTTTCTCTAGTTGTGGCGAGCGGGGGCTGCTCTTCATTGCGGAGCACAGGCTCTAGGTGTGCAGGCTTCAGTATTTGTGGCACATGGGCTCAGTAGTTGTGGCTCGTGGGCTCTAGAGTGCAGGCTCAGTAGTTGTAGTGCATGGGCTTAGTTGCTTCATGGCATGTGGGAGCTTCCTGGACCAGGGCTCGAACCCATGTCCCCTGCATTGGCAGGAGGATTCTTAACCACTGTGCCACCAGGGAAGTCCTGTGATCCTTTTTGAATTCATTCTTCTGGGTGGTTTGAGGTAGGGGTCAGTTTCTTTCTTTTGCATGTAGATGTCCAGTTATCCTAGCATCATTTGCTAAAAAGATTATTTTTCCCCAATGAATTATTTTGGCATCCTTGTTGAAAATCAATTGACCTTAAATGTAGCAGTTTATTTCTGGAGTCTCATTCTATTCCATTGATCTGTATGCCTTTCCTTATGCCAGTACTGCACTTGCTTACTGTAGCTTTGTAGTAAGTTTTGAAATTGATCACACACTTACTCTTGAACCCATTGGTTTGCTTTCTGCCCTCACCAGTTTTCTCAAACTGGTCTTGCTGAGTATATGAGTAACCTTCATGATGCCAAATGGATTTGAAATCTTCAAATGCCTCTGTTTCCATAATTATGATAGATTGGATAACCTGAAAACCCTCTCACAAGAAAATACTTGGAAATAGAAGCTGAAATATAGGAAATACCACTTTTAAATACATATCTGACTCCTAAGAAAGTAAGGAAAATTAATAGGGCCCCAAATAAGCAATAACTGAAAACCAGGAGAGTCTGGCCATTGCCCTAGGATCTGTGCCTACCTCAAAACCCAAAGAGTAGATTGGATTATAACAGCCATGTCAGGACAGGAGATGACACTCTGGGCCTATGTGAGGAGGGGAATGGTAACTGACATCCCTGCAAAAGCAGGATTGTTGAAGGGTTGGACCCTTAGTGAAAGTGTGAACCACAGAAACTTTGCTCATTGGCCCAGGGTGGTGGTGAGGAAGTTAATCTGTCTTGGCCTGGATCTGGGGCTGGTA